AATCTAAATCGAAAGTTTAAAAACATACCTCGCTCTATTTTTTTAACTTAAGCAAGTAATATGTTACTACAGTAATACACTCTGTAAAAGCAGCTAAAACTAAAGTTCTCTCCAGAGGCAATGACTCTTATCAAGTTATTTTATATCCTATCTTTTTTATCTGTGTATTTGCATGTATGCGTATATATATTTTTAAAGGTATGATAAAGGTATTATAATTATATTTTTATAGGGGTCTTTAATCTTTTATAGATTCATATAAGATATTTAGAATGAAATATGCCTAGAATTTGCTTCAAAACAATAAAGAGGTAGGGACAAGAAATAGTGGAGGTGAAGAATTAAATAAAACAAGAATAGTTATGAGTTGATGACTGTTGTAGCTGAGTGATGGGAACTTCATTAGATTTTATCTTACCAATGGAGGATGGTATATTTAACAATATGCACTAATTTTTTAAACTCATTTTGAAACAAATGACCAGTAAATTCAAAGAATGTTTTGGCAATGTTCCTTTTGTCTCTATGAAATGTCAGATAGAGTTTCAAGTTGTAGATACCTGGGTTCCCAAAAAACATCATGATGCATCCTTGAGAGTATTAACTTAAGCATAAGCAAATAAAGCATCTCTGCTACCATACCAATCATTATTTTAAATTATAAATAAGGTAGTAATAATTCTCACCTCCCAGCAAATATCTAATTTCTACAGTGTATAGCCAAAAGCAAAGAGTGTAACCTAACAAGAAATGAGTAATTGACTGTGTTCTGACAATTCAGTAAAGCTTCTTTATAAACACCCAAAGAAATCTCAATTTATAATCAATCAGATTTGGAGCCCTGATCTGGGAATGAATAATTAAGACAGTTTCAGAAATCATACGTTATTGTTGGCCTCCTGGGAAAAGCTAAGGGCTAAAATTTATTCTTCTTTGCCACAAAAAAGCCATCTGAATGGCTTATAATTATCCAGGGAATCCGAACGATCAATCTTGTTCAGGTTCTGTTACTTTCATCAAATTAATTTTGAATTAACAGTTTGGTGGTTTTCTATCCTGATGGACCCATCATTATCACATAGAGGGATATTAGCCCTCTGTGCTGCATTAGGATTCTATTTTTAATTTCTCTTATAAACCAAGGAAAAATCTAAAATAGCACTAAGTATTTCCAGGAAAAAAAAGGGTACACTAGAGTAGGCACTAATTTCCTTCACCTGAAGGTCTCTCCTTCAGTTCCTTCCCGCCCTTTGCTCCTACACCCACACTCTTGTCTTCCCAGTCATACTACAGGCTGAGGGTTTCCACAGACATGCTTCATGTTTCAAAAC